CGTCGAATCCTTCTCTGTCGGTGTTGAGCGATCACACTCCCATGTTTGTCCGTCACGTTCACCAACTCCTCTTCTCCAGGTGTCGTCGATTCGCCTACAACACACAACGAGAACACTCAGTTCACCAACATGTACGTGCACACGTCAATACCAACACACTGTCTCCATCACCGTCTCTCAATCTCCTACACACAAACACTCTCCACACATATGCACAACTCACAACACACACCAATCTACATCACACACAACACCCCACATTCCTTCCTACATTCTTCACTATCACCCACTCACTCAATCAATCACGCATTCATTCAATCAATCACACACTCCATCATTCACTCTAATATCAATCAATCACTCAATTAAATCAATCATCCACTCACACACACGCTTACGCACTCACTCACTCACTCACTCACTCACTCAATCAGTCACTCAAACACTCAATCACCCACCCATTCACTCACTCACTCACTCACTCACAATTTCATCCATTCAATCACACGATTTCCCACTTCTTTTCAATTACATTGAGTGACACTGTGTCAATCACATTGAAACACACATTATTCTACTAATCATCTCACACATATTCTTACTCATGTATCATTCACTCGATCAGGCACAATCAACAACAATAAACAACCTCAATACAAACAAACAAACAAACTAACTAACTAACAAACACACACACACACACGCACAGACACACATTCAACACCAACCCTTACTCACATCCACTACACATTCACATCAATAATCCATCACTGCGACAATACACACAGTGAAATCACTCTGACTTACCCAGTGGTCCGAGAGTGGTTCGTCGAATCCTTCTCTGTCGGTGTTGAGCGATCACACTCCCATGTTTGTCCGTCACGTTCACCAACTCCTCTTCTCCAGGTGTCGTCGATTCGCCTACAACACACAACGAGAACACTCAGTTCACCAACATGTACGTGCACACGTCAATACCAACACACTGTCTCCATCACCGTCTCTCAATCTCCTACACACAAACACTCTCCACACATATGCACAACTCACAACACACACCAATCTACATCACACACAACACCCCACATTCCTTCCTACATTCTTCACTATCACCCACTCACTCAATCAATCACGCATTCATTCAATCAATCACACACTCCATCATTCACTCTAATATCAATCAATCACTCAATTAAATCAATCATCCACTCACACACACGCTTACGCACTCACTCACTCACTCACTCACTCACTCAATCAGTCACTCAAACACTCAATCACCCACCCATTCACTCACTCACTCACTCACTCACTCACAATTTCATCCATTCAATCACACGATTTCCCACTTCTTTTCAATTACATTGAGTGACACTGTGTCAATCACATTGAAACACACATTATTCTACTAATCATCTCACACATATTCTTACTCATGTATCATTCACTCGATCAGGCACAATCAACAACAATAAACAACCTCAATACAAACAAACAAACAAACTAACTAACTAACAAACACACACACACACACGCACAGACACACATTCAACACCAACCCTTACTCACATCCACTACACATTCACATCAATAATCCATCACTGCGACAATACACACAGTGAAATCACTCTGACTTACCCAGTGGTCCGAGAGTGGTTCGTCGAATCCTTCTCTGTCGGTGTTGAGCGATCACACTCCCATGTTTGTCCGTCACGTTCACCAACTCCTCTTCTCCAGGTGTCGTCGATTCGCCTACAACACACAACGAGAACACTCAGCTCAAAAACATGTTCGTGCACACGTCAATACCAACACACTGTCTCCATCACCGTCTCTCAATCTCCTACACACAAACACTCTCCACACATATGCACAACTCACAACACACACCAATCTACATCACACACAACACCCCACATTCCTTCCTACATTCTTCACTATCACCCACTCACTCAATCAATCACGCATTCATTCAATCAATCACACACTCCATCATTCACTCTAATATCAATCAATCACTCAATTAAATCAATCATCCACTCACACACACCCTTACGAACTCACTCACTCACTCACTCACTCAATCAGTCACTCAAACATTCAATCACCCACCCATTCACTCACTCACTCACTCACTCACTCACTCACAATTTCATCCATTCAATCACACGATTTCCCACTTCTTTTCAATTACATTGAGTGACACTGTGTCAATCACATTGAAACACACATTATTCTACTAATCATCTCACACATATTCTTACTCATGTATCATTCACTCGATCAGGCACAATCAACAACAATAAACAACCTCAATACAAACAAACAAACAAACTAACTAACTAACAAACACACACACACACACGCACAGACACACATTCAACACCAACCCTTACTCACATCCACTACACATTCACATCAATAATCCATCACTGCGACAATACACACAGTGAAATCACTCTGACTTACCCAGTGGTCCGAGAGTGGTTCGTCGAATCCTTCTCTGTCGGTGTTGAGCGATCACACTCCCATGTTTGTCCGTCACGTTCACCAACTCCTCTTCTCCAGGTGTCGTCGATTCGCCTACAACACACAACGAGAACACTCAGTTCACCAACATGTACGTGCACACGTCAATACCAACACACTGTCTCCATCACCGTCTCTCAATCTCCTACACACAAACACTCTCCACACATATGCACAACTCACAACACACACCAATCTACATCACACACAACACCCCACATTCCTTCCTACATTCTTCACTATCACCCACTCACTCAATCAATCACGCATTCATTCAATCAATCACACACTCCATCATTCACTCTAATATCAATCAATCACTCAATTAAATCAATCATCCACTCACACACACGCTTACGCACTCACTCACTCACTCACTCACTCACTCAATCAGTCACTCAAACACTCAATCACCCACCCATTCACTCACTCACTCACTCACTCACAATTTCATCCATTCAATCACACGATTTCCCACTTCTTTTCAATTACATTGAGTGACACTGTGTCAATCACATTGAAACACACATTATTCTACTAATCATCTCACACATATTCTTACTCATGTATCATTCACTCGATCAGGCACAATCATTAACAATAAACAACCTTAATACAAACAAACAAACAAACTAACTAACTAACAAACACACACACACACACACGCACAAACACACACTCAACACCAACCCTTACTCACATCCACTACACATTCACATCAATAATCCATCACTGCGACAATACACACAGTGAAATCACTCTGACTTACCCAGTGGTCCGAGAGTGGTTCGTCGAATCCTTCTCTGTCGGTGTTGAGCGATCACACTCCCATGTTTGTCCGTCACGTTCACCAACTCCTCTTCTCCAGGTGTCGTCGATTCGCCTACAACACACAACGAGAACACTCAGCTCAAAAACATGTTCGTGCACACGTCAATACCAACACACTGTCTCCATCACCGTCTCTCAATCTCCTACACACAAACACTCTCCACACATATGCACAACTCACAACACACACCAATCTACATCACACACAACACCCCACATTCCTTCCTACATTCTTCACTATCACCCACTCACTCAATCAATCACGCATTCATTCAATCAATCACACACTCCATCATTCACTCTAATATCAATCAATCACTCAATTAAATCAATCATCCACTCACACACACGCTTACGCACTCACTCACTCACTCACTCACTCACTCAATCAGTCACTCAAACACTCAATCACCCACCCATTCACTCACTCACTCACAATTTCATCCATTCAATCACACGATTTCCCACTTCTTTTCAATTACATTGAGTGACACTGTGTCAATCACATTGAAACACACATTATTCTACTAATCATCTCACACATATTCTTACTCATGTATCATTCACTCGATCAGACACAATCAACAACAATAAACAACCTCAATACAAACAAACAAACAAACTAACTAACTAACTAACTAACAAACACACACACACGCACAGACACACATTCAACACCAACCCTTACTCACATCCACTACACATTCACATCAATAATCCATCACTGCGACAATACACACAGTCAAATCACTCTGACTTACCCTTTGGTTCATATGTTTCTGAATTTATTTTTGGTTTGATTTGTTTGCCAATTATTCTTCCTTGCTTATCTGTCACATTCACCAACTCCGCCTTTGCGTTTGTTGTTTTTTCGCCTATAATATATAATCGGAATCTTCAGTGGTTTTCAATACATTCGCCTACTTTTATAACTTGTCTTCTACTCTTATTTTCAGTATCTTTGTCTCCTTATGTTTTCTTTTTTTTGTTTTTTACATTTGTTACCTATCTCTTTCGAATTTCTTGTCACCTCTTCTCTCTCCATTAATGTGTTTTTCTATCCATTCGCCTCACTGTACCTCTATTTTCATTCCTCTATACATCTCTTTTTTTATCTTCTCTTTCAGCATTTATCAGTGATTTCACAGGGATCATTCGATGCTTCCGTCTTTGCGTTTGCAAGCTAGTGTCTTCCATTCACTGACCCAATTAATCTTTATGTTATCTTCTGTCCATTTCCTGTTCTTCTCCCTACGCCTTCTCTTCTTAAAATTGTTTTATTGTTGCCTTTCAACGCTATTCTTTTCACTTTTTTTATGTATTTTAATGTTATCAGAAGCGGTTTTGTGGATATTGTAGTAATGTCAACAGTTGAGATCATGAATCTAGACCACCATGGAAAACATGTATGCACTGGACAGCCGTTTCGTCCTATTGTTGGACTCCTTATCAGTGCGCATTTACGATCCCGCCTGCCACGAGATTCGAACCCAGAACCTATCCGTCTCGCTCGTGAGCGCCAAATGTTATTTAGTTTTTTCTAAATGGTTTTTTTTATGTTTTTGTTGTTGTTTTATTCTTTTTTTAATGCTCATTGTCTTTTCTTCTTGATCTTGTTTTTATTCATTAATTATTTGTATGTGTGTGTGCGTGTGTTTTCTTCAAAAAAACATGCTTACTTACCATTTTTTTCAGTGTATTTCTTTCCATCCAAATTGTCCCATGGTGTTGTCTTTATTATTTGTTCCGTTTGTGTGTTTTCTCTTTGTATATCCGTCGTTTCTATTCTACTTATTTTCTCTGTTTCAGTCTTTCCAATCAGTACTATGATTAAAAAGAACAACAACAAAGTTAAAACGTTATTATATGGCATTTTTCTGATGTGTTTTTTTATTATAGTTTCCGATATTCTGTTTTTGTTGCTGTTGTCGTTGTTGTTTGTTTGTTTTCCAATTTTCCGATTTACTTATATTTAAACGCTTTTTTTTTAGTTTCTTCTTAGACCATTAAAACGTTGTTTAGTTTGATGTGTTCAGGTTATGTTTATTGTGAAAAATTTTTAATCTTGGATCATTTTATTCATTTCAATGATAAATTGATGAGACTGTCATTTATGGCTGACCTTTGAACGATGCTAGATTGATTTTGACAGTGTCTACTTAATAATTAGAACCAAATGAGGGTTATAAACCTGTATGAAGGATTAGAATTATGATTTACAATTGTTGGTAAAGGTTAAAAATTAAATTTAGAGTTTTTCTTACGTACTGACATATAATGTCAAAATGATATTGATGATTGAATTTCGGGCTAAAATCTGAGATCTATTATCCTATACATGATTGATTCGTCCATAAGTTATAGTTTTGTGATATCACTAATAATACTACTATTAATATTAAAGCAAATCATCATATCACACATAACCAAGGTGATCTGTTGTAATTTTTCAAAAAGATTATAATAGATCCCTTTTAATGATGATTGTATTTGAATTGACAATTAAAGTTTAATGAATAAATTATTCTATATTGATTATTATTTCAGTTATTTACAATGATATTAAAACATTCATTAATTAGAGAAATTTCAATTCTGAACAAAATAAAAGGGGAAGTTTTTGTAGATAATAATAATAATAATAATTTAATAATTGAATTCATGAATCCATTAAAGCTAGATCATTATGAAAAATCTAAAAGCATTGGATGACCTTTATATGTGGATAAACACTGATGAGACAGTTTTATACGAGGACAAAACAGCTATTCAATCCTTTTAAGTTTTCTATGATAGTCTAGCTTTAATTAACTCATCAATTCACTTATTAAATTTGAATTTACCTTTTGTATTCTTATGAAAAGATTGTATTAAAATGGAATTTATGAAATGTTATGATTGTTTACAATTTATTATTCAGTATTTCGTATAGAAAACAAACTAAGATTGATTAGGTTTACATGGGAAACTATATGAAGTTTAATAAATTGAAAATAGAATAAAAGACTGAAAAGTATCGACAAAGTTCTAAGTATTAATGCTAAGGTTACATTTGTTTATTGTTTACGAACTGTCTTTTTTTAAAAAAAAACATTCTTTAGAAAGCTACTCCTCAAACGTTTGACTTAAATACCTACTTAACAAAGCAGTGAAGAAACAACAAGAAATATTATCTCATGGTAGGCAGTTATAAAGATAAGTTCATACATCATTCATTCCAACAGAGCCTTGGAACCAAATGTACAAGATTGGTTTGAAATTGGAGTTTTATAACTTCATAGATTGACCAGTTATATCGCCCAACCTAAGTTAAGAGCTAAAGTTTGCTTTACATCTTTTCAAGTTCGTCAAAAACACCCTCTTCACATGGAAGCATTCTGTAGGATTTCTTTTTCAGAAGTTATAATCGCATGAAGGTATAAGAAGCATTTCAAGTAGGGCATTCGGGAGCCTAGTGATACAACTACCTGGATAGTCAAAATGAAATATATGAAGTAGGATGCAGGCTTGCAATCTACTACATGAAAACTATTTGATTTAACTATTAAGCCACTGATATTACTCGCATAGGATAGTTGAATCCCACCACCTTACTCCTTACACACTCCTTTTTTAATGAGTAACATAGTGTGAGAAGCTTGCTAAGTTATGTATTTTGAATTTCAGTTAGTATACATTATATAAATTACTTATTCAGTAAACAACAATATTATTCACTAATCTTATCAAAAACTTTACATCGTGGTGAAATGTTTTAAAAACGAATTAGGAACAAACCTGATAGTTTCAAATAAATTGAGCATTGATTAGAAAGTTAATAATAATGATAGTATAATAATAATAATAATAATAATAATAGCAATAATAGTAGTAATAATAATAATAACGGTAATATTAATGGTAGTAGTAATAATAGTGGTAATGATAGTAACAATAGCAGTAGTAATAGTGGTAATAATAATAATATTAGTAATGATAGTAACAATAGTAGTAGTGATAATAGTAGTATTAGTAGTATTAATAACAGTAGTAGTAGTAGTATTAGTAGTAGTAGTAGCAACGGTAGTGGTAGTAGTAGTAATATTAGTAGTAGTAGCAACGGCAGTAGTAGTAGTAGTAATAATAATAATAATAGTAGTAGTAGTGATAATAATAGTAGTAGCAGTAGTAGTATTAATAATAGTAAAGGCACTAGTAATAATAGTAGTAGTGGTAGTAATAATGGCAATAATGATAATAATTATACCTTTTGTTGTCACCCAATCAGTAGAAAACTTGTATATTTTTTCCGATGTTTCATAACTTAATTATTTTTTTTTAAAAAACAATACAGTTTCCTACTCATTAGAATAAAATCAATAAAAATTATTGATTGTTTACCGATTGTGTTTTATTTTTCAAAATTATTTAGAAATAATAAAAAAGAAAGAAAAAGAAAGAAAAAAACCTAATTTACTTTAATAATCTAATCAATTATGGATTATTATTAATATTTAAATTATTGATTTATAAAAAAAATTTGTTATATATACTACTGATAATAAAATATATATACTACTTACATGGATTTAATTTGGATAGACATTTTGCATCGAAATTAATAGATATAGACTTTAATTCATGACTTGGTGGAATTAATTGTGCAATAGGAATATGATGAGTAATTTCACTATTGTTTTGAAGTCCAGCTGAAATTGTAATAATAATAATAATGAATCTTAGTATATTTAAATGAATTATAAGTTAAATGGAATCAATTTATTGATAGAAACTATTGAGAAGATAAAAAATAATGATGATAAGTTAAACATTTTACCGAATTAAACTTCACCCCATTGCACAAGTAAGTGACTATCAGGATTCAGTAGCTAAATGGATAACTCGATGGCGTTTGAAGTGAACGGTATTGAGTTCGAGTCTCAGAGTGAACATCAACTATGAGGTGTAGGTACATCAAGCTGACGAGTCCCAATCAGGACGAAACGCGCGTCCTGGATTCCACTGCTAGCCACTATCCATCTTTGCTTATAATGCTTGTAAATTAAGGCAGTATCGAGGCATACGCACAGTATGCACATATGCCAATAAGAGACTGATCTATTTCAGTCCTAAAACATCAATGTGAAGATTCAAGTAAAAACAATACCAAGTGAATTTTACCGTATTGTTTAGTTTATCCTCAAAAAAAATCAAGCGTTGACTGTAAAATCAATAAATGTAATTTATCTCAGATTCTTCTTAAGATGTTCTATGAAAATCAATTTTATTGATTTTAAAAACATCCTGTTTTAACAGAAAAACTGAATATTCTAAATGATTAATTAATTGGTTATTTAACTGTTGTCAATATGAATAGATTGATTATAGTTAAATAAATTCAATCTTCAATTGTCTAAGAATTAGTATCAGAAGGAGTTCTGTGGAGATTTTAGTAATTTCAATAGTTGAGATCATGAGTCAATTGAGGCCAGACTACAATGGAAAGCCTGGAAGAACTGAACGGCCGTTTTGTTCTAGTATAGAACTCCTCAGCGGTGCGCATTCACAACCCTGTTTCGCAGGATTTGAACACAGGACCTACCAGTCTCACGTGCTAGTGCTTAACCTCTAGACCATTGAGCTGGCCGGCATCCAACGGTGTTAGTGTCTAACTTCAACTAATCCATGAAATTAAGCCACACATCCACCATTGTTATCAGTGAATTACTATCTCACAACTGACCCGGTTGAACTCCACTGTTCACTGCTCCTCAATAGAACTCCAGGATATACCTCTTGAAACCAGTCACTGGTGAGCAGATGTTAATTATTATCAACTATCTAAGAATTAGTGTATAGGTAGATTATAAGAGTTTGATTTCATTTAGTATGTTATTCAATCTTTATTCTCCTAATTTATGCCTAAATTGTTTAGAGTTGTCTCTCAGTTAGTCATAAACAACATAAAACCTGATACGGCAGTCTAACCTGTCAACCTACATTAGCACGACAAAATGAAATTAAGAAGATAAATAGTAAAGGGATCAGAATAATGATAGAGGACTGAGAATAAAGAAGATTGAATATTAAGTACATGGTTTGAAAGGACAGAATGAGAGTAACGAATAAATGGATATTAAGATTTGTGATCTTAAGAAATTTATAAACAATTTTCTACACAAGATACTCAATGTTTGTTCGCAGGATACCTCACTAATGGAGGAGGATAAACCAGCTCCCATTTGAAGAGGAAATTAGAAAAAGACATTGGAAATGGATGGGACATACATTATGGAAATCACCAAACTAAATCATGAGGCAAGCCCTAACATTGAATCCTGAAGGTAAATGGAAAAGTGAAAGGTCGAAGAACACATTACGCCGGTAATTGGAAGCAAACATGAAAAGGATGAATAGCAAGTGGAAAGAACTAGAAAGGAATGTAGAATTCTAGTAGGCGGCCTATGCTCCTTCATGAGGAGTAACAGGCGTAAGTAAACAAGTCACTCTTGTTTTATGAATCACTAGTGATCTTACTCTACTTTTGTTAACTTGATTTCTGTTAATAAGTTTACTAACTAAAGTAAACTATGAGGAATTGAACATATCCTAGACCAGTTGTTGCTGTAATCAAGATTCCACAGAAATTAATTAAATTTTTAAATAAAGAAACCCGTTATTTTACTGAAGCAGAACGAAGAACAATTCAGCGAAGAAAACTTCCTTTTCAGCGATCTCATTCATTTAAGCTAAAATTTTAGTCTATAGTAAAATAGAATAGTGTTGAATAATTCAAAACAACTTGAATTGTATAGTGACAGTATTTGAAACTTAGCTATCGAAAGGAAGTTATGTAATGATCGGCTGTGATAGCTGTTAAGAACAGAATACTTAAAAGTAGTATTAATGGCTCATTACTAGTTGTGAAAATAAGTGGAAAGGGTTAGAAACAAAAATTTAGAAAATCCATAGGTTATGGAAGGTAGAAAGTTTAAGACAATGGAAGAATCAGAAATTAAACATACTGTTTCTAGACGCAGTGGATAGTAATAGCCTCTGCTGTATATAAGTTTTTCATTTGCATTCCTTTTGAGCCAACTCTTCCGACTGTATGCATGATTTTTAAGGAGGCTTCTGATGAAGCTGAATAAATCGAATTAACCAGGTGTTCGAAGATTGAACTTTTAACTAACTTCTATAATCAATATAAGCAAAGATGGATAGTGGCTAGCAATGGAATCCAGGGTGCGCTCTTCAACCTATTTAGGACTCGTCAGCTGGATGTACTTACATCTGAGAGTTGATGTTCGCTCTAGGACTCGAACCCAGTACCGTTCACTTCAAACGCCATCGAGTTATCCACTCAGTTACTGAAGATTCAATTAAGCAATACCAAGTGAATTTAAACTTCTATAATTCCTTAAGAATCCTTAAGAAAATTATCCGACACCATTCTATTTTAACCATAGACTACTATTTTAGCAAGTAAACTTAAATATAAATACTACTGTAAAGCTTAATTTAATGAAATTGTCAACAACAACAATAAAATTCACTTCGTTCAATTCACTTCATTATTCAGCTATAGAATGGAATTTTAAACAAAAAAAGTTAAACTTACTTGAATTAATTCCAGAATTGTTAGCTGCTCTTGCAGATGGACATAGATGGAGTGAAAGTGATTTTATTGGATTGGCAATCGCTGTTACATTCGATGATATATTGGATAATGCTGTTGTATTATCTTTAAAAATAAATAAAAATTCTTAAAGTATACGATGATTAGTTGAAATAAACATTAGAGTTTTTAGATTCGCTGCATACAGTTTAATAAACAGAATGACGAAAAGACGATTAAAAAACTCATTATATAATAATTTAGGTCACTACTATCAACAGAATGTATAGTTCATGTTTACGATTCTCAGATGTCCAAGATAGAGTTGAATAAAAAATGCTGGTGAGAGTACGCATCCAAGATCCGGCTCGCGGGATTCGAACTCAAGACCTATCTCTTATTCTTATACTTTGAACAACGAGAAACCACTGCAATTCCTGCAATGCGAGTAAGAACACATGCTACACATCATGCTGAGCACAGTTCATGTTAAGTCAATACAAGAATATCGTATCTTTAACAGACAGCACACTCAAATAAATAAATGTTATACAGAATAAAATATCACACTGGAAAACAAAACAAATATTACATTGAGCAATTACCATAATGAATTACAACAGAAGTAATGTTGGTCAAAAATCACAATGAGTAAAAGAATGTATCAGAAGGGGTTTTGTGCAGATTTTAGTAATTTCAATAGTTGAAATCATGAGTCAATTGAAGCTAGACTATCATGGCAAACGTGTAAACACTGGAAAGCCGTTTTGTCCTATTGTAGGTTTCTTCAGCACTGCACATCCACGATCCCGCCTGCCACGGGATCCGAACCCAGGACCTATCAGTCGCTTGACCATTAGACCATTGAGTTGGAATCTAATTTTATTTTGTTTTATCACATCGTTATGTTTATAAATCACATAACCTATTGAAGTATGCTAATGAAAAGTATACGATCCTTTGCTTTATAAGTTACAAAAGAGTCCAATCAAAGATATCGTGATTAGTTGCTGGTAATATACTGCAAAAAAAACAATGTACACCATTTAAATATCAATTCCTGAACTGTTAACATCTATTTGCCAATTATTCAATATTTATCGCCAGAATCGATTAAGAAATAAAGAAATGACAAACTTGTTGAAATACTCTGTACTAAGAATTCTATATTGTATTCAAAATGTAATAGTGAATAAAGCCAATAATAATCATAATAATAAGTAGTATTAGTAATAGTCTATTAATTTTAACTAAAACCAAATTGAGTATTTATATATTTCCTTTAGTAAACATTTTCACTCATGTTATTATTTATAAAATACATTCGTAATAGATAATAACCTTCTATTCACTAAACTTATTCATTTATTAGTGAATTTCACACACACACACACACACACAGAGACACACACAATTCAATTATCAATCATCAATTTAATAACATTGGATTTTTATCTGTTTTTCTTTTCTAAAAAAAAGAGGAAAACCGAAAGAAAGAAAAAAATAGAGAAAACTCACCCTTCACTTGAACATCAATCTCAAATTTACAAGGGATGATTTGTAAACATAATGTTGTAATCAATAACTAAAAATAAATAAATAAATAGATTATATGATACGATTGTATTATAATAAATAAGAACTTTCGTCTAAAATTTAATCGAATAGTTTCAAAGCATTTAGGCGGCAATTTAATGTGAGACATTAAACAAGAATTAGAATAAGAAGAAGCCGTAGTAGTGATAGTAGTTGTTGTAGAAGTAGTAATAGAAGTAGTAGTAGTAGAAGAAGAAGAAGTAGTAGTAGTAGTAGTAGTGGTAGTAGTAGTAGTAGTAGTAGTAGTAGTAGTAGTAGTAGTAGTAGTAGTAGTACTAGAAGTAGTAGTAGTACTAGTAGTAGTAGTACTAGTAGTAGTAGTAGTAGTACTAGTAGTAGTAGTAGTAGTAGTAGTAGTAGTAGTAGTAGTAGTAGTAGTAGTAGTAGTAGTAGTAATAGTAGTAGTAAAAGAAGAAGAAGAATCTATTTATACAATCTCAATAAATGAATTTAAACTTGAGAAACAGCTTAGATTAGATGATCAGGCAAAATGTTAAGTGTACTTCAGGTACATCCGTTGAGATTTTATGAATAATTGAAGTATGTAGTAATAATAGTAATGATAATAATCATAAAAATTCGTACCTTGATCCATAAATCTACCATTACAATTAACTGATGAATGGTATGTGAATAAAATTATTTTAGGGTTTATATAGTAGTTAATTGTTTATTTAAAAATAATATTGAATAATTAGTCTAGACAATCAATAAATAAATAAAATTAGAAGAAAGAAAAACATTAATAGACTCATTTCATATTGGGCGAATTATCTAGGCCGAATATATAACTCGGTAATTTCTTTTCTTTCATGTTGATCTTTACTATTATTATTACTATTACTATGATTACTATTATTATTATTATTATTATTATCATTACAAATAGCTCGGTCTATTGAATGTATATGATTGTCAATGAATTGTATTTGTTTATAAAATTGATTTAATAAATTATTGAATATTGAATGATTAAATTGAACAATCCAGTAAATAATAAAATTGTTATTTCATTAGTATAATTTGAAGTATATTTAGACAAAGTAAGACAAGACAAAGGAAATTGATTTGTTCCATTTCGAGGATTCTTATTAAGTAAAAATGTATGATTGATCACCGATTACAACGATGCGAAAGTCTAACTAGTGTTTGGGGATGGTTAGAAGAAAGTTAGAGGCGGCCAAACCGAAACGTCGCATCAGTGCTTGAAGTCAATAAGTTCTGATCTGAGCCATGTTGGGAGATGCAGACTACTTCGTTGGGAGTCAGCGTGACTGTCGTAACCAATGGTTGGAGACTCTTGGTGACATGGCTCAGAATCGATCACAATGGAGTAGGTGTATACACTCTCTGTCTTCCCTTAAACTAAGAGATCGAAATTGCTGTATATCTTTCTTTCTACCAATTAATTCTTTCTACCTGTACTAATTCCTTACATGCAATCTTTCTTTTATATATTACCACCATTGACTTAACTACTCCTATGAATCCGGTGTTCAACTTGTTGTACTAAAGAGGTATAAAAAATTGAACCGATGTACATATGTGCCTGGTCCTACGTTGCAGCTGACTAACTGACAAACGGTCTAAAATTATATGATATAGGATTGTTAGAAATAAAAAAAACATCCAAGATATGTTCGGAAGGCAACAATAATTAGTTATAAGAAGAACAGGTAGTAATATATAGTATTAAATATAGTTAAAATTAGCAGGTGTTTGTATATTGCAAAGACAGTCATGTACAGTAGTGATGGTAAGACTATTGTTACTACTACTACTACTACTACTACTACTACTACTACTACTACTACTACTACTACTACTACTACTGTGCTGCGAGTTACTAATATCGACATATATAAGTAGTATGTATCACTAATCGAGAAAGGGATTTCCGGAGGCAGAAGGTTGAGAAGAATAATGAGAAAAGAACGAGAACAGTAAGTGATTGATATGAAAATGAAAGATTATCGAAGTGTGAGACAGTCAATAAATACTTTACAAATGAATTATTTACTTTATGGTTCTCAGATTTTATCAAGATATTCTGTAATTTCCTCTTCAAATACGTTTAGTTTTCCTCAATGGTGTTTTCGTTCACTATGCTACTACTAGTGCTAATAGTAATAATAATAATAATAACAGTAATAGTAGGAAGAAGATTAAATGAATAAATAAACAAAGGATTAGATAATCATACTGAAAATACTAAATGACCACATAATTAACTGACATAATTAGAACAAAAAGAACATTAGGTTGTGAGCATTAATAAGACTGCATAAAAATAAAATTATTTCATTACAACCCTATTCATAATGGCAAAGATGAACTTATAGCATTTTCATTGTCGACATATATAACTCAGGTCGGAAATGTTTCATAGAGATCGGTACTATAAAGCAGAATAAAATATGAAATTATTTATTTACGATCATCTTTTATGCTTTCATTATATTGCAAGATATTTGGATTCACTGTTGTATAACTGTTCGGTAGTTTAGAGATTAGGAATTTGAGCATGAAGCTGAAGATTCTGAGTTCAATGGATGCTGGTAAGAAGTTTCATACTAGTTGTTATAAATTGTGACCTCTGATTATGGAGCAGTGAATTATCGATCGGATCAAGGACGCGTAAAATACGTATGAGCAGCCTAGAGTCTGATTGGTCCTGTTTTCCGACTAGCCTAACCAGATAAGTCCAAGGATAGTATTAGACTTAACAAGATAATTTTCCGGATATTTTTCAGAATATCCCAACACCTTCCTTTTTTGAAGATCAGGAGTTGATAACCGGATATTAAATTTTCCGAGTTCATCCTCCTCCGCGAAATAATGTTGGATCCTCATATACACAATTTACAATTAATTTGACCGTATTTAAAATATGTTTGTCGCACTGAACAGAGAATCAACTGAAAGTGACTGGGTGGTGAAGCTGAACAACAATTGATATGAGGTGATCGAAGTTTGACTCTTCTGAAATATTATGACCAAATTTATGGGGAACATCACTAGTAGATAGTGGATCACTATGATAATCAGCGTCCAACAAAACTGCACCAGGTCCTTGATTATTATTTGATGCACGTGACATATTTTCTGACAAAACAAGGGAATCTCGATAATTAGATTCGTCAGAAACTTCTATCGTAGAATGATGAGCTTCGTTTGGTACAACTATCTTCATTATGATGCTTGATTCATTTTCTGTTTCTTTTTGGGCGGGTACTGCAATAATTTCATGAGCGTTTAATAAGAAATCGTCTTTCTGTGAGCTGGACAATCCAGTGTTTGTACATAGTGTTTCAGGGACAATGGGATTTGAAACCACGACAGGACATGTCTCTGAAATGGACATTTCTGGATCACTGGGCGCATCATGAATGACTGCTAGTTCGTTTGAGTTACGGTTGATCGAGGATTCATGGAGGCTGAGATCATTTTCCAGCTCAGTGTGCAATTCAAAAATCAATCCACCCACTTTCGTGGCATCCCCAAGGCATGAGTGATTCAGCAACTGCGTGCGGAATTTGACTGAGAACTCCAAATGTCGTTCAAATAGCAGCTGTGATCGATTGGTAGGGGAAGTCATTTTTTTAGTCAGCACCAGCAATGAAAATAACTGTATGACACTGATGACAAATCTGGATGCTGATTGCTCGAAATAATTAAACTGAATTTCGTCCAATTACAGACTGACTTTGGATCGTATTTTTTCACCCCGTCGCCAATCGTTATAAGTTGTGACCTCTGATTATGGAGCAGTGAATTATCGATCGGATCAAGGACGCGTAAAATACGTATGAGCAACCTAGAGTCTGATTGGCCCTGTTTTCCGCCTAGCCCAGCCAGATAAGTCCAAGGATAGTATTAAACTTAAGATAATTTTTCGGATATTTTTCTGAATATCCCAACACTAGGATAAAAAAAGCCTTTTCAGTATTTCCAAATTTTTAACGGTAGTCTAACTAAGATCAGTTTCATGATTTAAAAGCTACGAAAATTCGCGGATTTATTGATTTTCAAGATAATCATTTTCTTGATTTTCACGTTTTTGTATTTGTATTCATCATATTTAATTTTTTGTACTCTCAGAGTATAAACCAAATGTTAATTAAGTTTAAAGACCTTAAACTAACCGAACTCGAGTACCTTCTTTTGTAATAACAGGATGATCGCTTTAATAATACACATCTCAAATAGTAAAAATAACAAAAATTGTATAGTTTACAAATGAATTTAATGTAACTCAAGATGCTTCTCAAAGATAGTCTATATGATAACGTATACAAAAGTTTCATACTATCTAGTACTCGTCAGTATTATAAATCTGTAGTCGTGAGATCAATCATGCTCCCTAACAGATTTGATCTTGTATCACCATGATTTCTAGTTATGGATGTTATCATAGAGTGAGCTGCGACTGATCTCTTGAAGATGATCTAATTCTATCAAACAAGCTGGTCACTACTTATTGATTATCATTATTCAACTCATCAATTCAATTCATCATTATTCGACTAATTGATTCTTAACTAATTATCCACATACAAATAGGTGATAGTTTACTTATTGTTTCCCATAAATGAATAAAAACGATGAATATACCGATTGTAAGATGATGGAGAAAATTTGTAGCTCAGGTGGATGATTTTGGTGGAGTGTTGTTCTCTGAGCTGGATGGTTTGGTCGTGGAGCTTTCATCGTTCTTCTGAACGACATCATCAGCACTTCTATCTGAAGTTTGTGCTGATGATGTCGTTCAGAAGAACGATGAAAGCTCCACGACCAAACCATCCAGCTCAGAGAACAAAACTCCACCAAAATACCGATTGTATAATTATGATGAAGACTGATGCTTTCTCTTTAAAAACAATAATAGTATCAATCTATGTAACAAAGAGACTTTTCATTTGAAATAAGATGGAAGAATCTAGATAATATTGAAAGAAGTATTCATACTTTGCGTGTGTTTATTTTAACTGATAAAATATATGAGTTATATTGATTTATTGATGTAAAGGTACATTTTAAGGTACTATATTTACGGGAAGGAATTCATGAGTCTATCTAAGCTAGATCACTATTGAAAACCTGGAAGAAATTGGACATCCATTTCGTCTTAGTATGGGACTATCTAACAGTATACATCCAAGATCTCGCATAAGGGAATTGAACCCAGTATTTTAGGTCTTGCGTGAACGTTTAACCTTTAAACCACTGACACAGCATCCAACTGTGTTAATGTCTAACTTCAATTCATCTATGATCTTATGCAACCCTCAATTGTCTGAGATGGATAACTGTCTCATATCCGACACAGACTAATTATAAGTTGCACAAATAAGATTAGTTAAACAGTAAATAACAATTTAAAAAAGCGTTTGAATAAAAAGAACAGAGTAGCTTTGTACAAGCTTCTTTTTAATATAATCTTTGGTTTTTCTGCAAAAAATGCAATCTCACTTTGAGATAACTGGCATTTATTCAACTTTTTAAACCAGATAGATTATGAATTGTCTATACTCGACTGTTGTTAAATGTCTGGCGAATGTACAAGTTTCATTAGATGATATAGAATAATCCTAAGAACGTTGAACCGAGA